AGACTTGCAATGGTGAAGGATATATGCTGAGCTTCTGGGATTTTATTTCTGTATAGTTTATAAATATTTTGCTGTGTAGAATTTGCCTAAAATATAAAAAGAGGGTAGGCACGAGAACTTTGCAGTTTTTCTTTTAACATGCAGTGAGATAACATTAGGAACCCTGTTCATATATAATACTGTGCCATGGCAGTACAGTGGTAGAAGTAGTGTGTTCACTTTCAGAAAGAAGCCATGGGTCTCTACTCCATGTCCACGTTACTGCCCTCTACTCTGCCAATTGCTGGCTTCTCCGATTAAGGAGTGTAGTGTACATTGGGTGTGTGATGTTAAAACAGTAACAGGCTGGGCAAGGAGGCTCACCCTTAGAATCCCAGCACTTTGTGAGGCCCAGGAAGGAGGATCACTTGAGGCCAGGAATTTGAAACTAGACAAGACAACAGTCAGACCTTGTCTGTACAAACAATTTAAAAAAAAAAAATGAGTGTAGTGGCATGTGCCTGTAGTGCTGGTTACTTTGGAAGCTGAGATTGGAGGATTTCATGAGCCCAGGAGTTTGAAGTTATAATGAGCTGTGATCACACCACTGCACTCCAGCTTGGGGGACAGAAGGAGACCTTGTCTCTTAAAAAAATAAACAAAAAAAGTCCCGCAAACAACACTCACAGGGAAGCTGCTTGAGAGAACCCATGGCTTCACCACTTCACCTGAGTTAAAGTGCTGGCATATTGGATGATTATAAAACAGAGTGGGGAGAACTCTGAGTTTCAGAGACAAAGTATATTTTATTTCTTCCTTTTTTCAAATCAAAGAAAACTGACAGAATGACCAAAATGATATCTCTGGGGAAATAACATTTATCATGGGTGGGACATCCTTTTCCATCTCATTACCCACTTGGAAAGAAATTCAGGCCTCTGCTGTGAAGTTCTGCTTGTACACACACAGTCTGCTTTTTTCATCCGTTGTTATCCATCCATTCATTCACGCCCCATCTCGGATTGCCAGCTGAGTGTGAGGCACCTTGGAGTGAGATAAGATAAGTTCAAGAGGCTGTGTGCTTGATTAGTGTAAGCAAAACCGCTCTGGGAATTTAGAGGAAGACAAAATTATATCCACAAAAGGACAGTCAAGGAATTTCCTGGGGTAAGATTTTCACAGATGTTTTTTGGGTGGCCTGGGGGATGGGAGGGAGGTCAGACAGTGAAGAAATGAGAAGGAGCCTTTTTCTATTAAGGGCTGACCTGGTGCAGTTTAGGGCGTTTGCATAATTAGCAGAGTAAGATAAACAAGATTAATAGTTAATGTTTTCCACTTCTGGTAGCTTTTTAAAAGCAACTTTTAGGCTTTCAAATAAGAATTACTTTTAGAGAGAACTGAGAGTTTAATCATTAATTAATTAGCACGGAGTGTCCACGATGGAAGGAGTAGGCAGGCACTATAGCATTATTTTAAACTACCAGTTTGAAAATCTTGGTTTAAAAAACAGTTAAATTTTATCTCACGTAATTATCTTCTGTATTTTTTTGCAGCTTGCCCATGTTTACTGTTCTCAGAAGGTTCTCCATCCTGTTTACAATGTTTGCTGAAGGAGTTTTACTCAAGTGAGCTAAATTTCCAACTTACCTATTCTTTAAACAATTTTCTGATAGAAATAAGACCAGTAATTTTAATATCTCATGTATCCTGAGCTCCTCCAAGGAGCTTCAACCTTTGAGAAGTGTAAGCACCCTTCTCCTTGCCATGGAGATAGGTAGCGTGCAGGCGTGAGAGTTGGGAAGGCCGGGAACTGCAGGTGAAGCCTGTCTGAACAGGAGGTTCACTTTGTAGAATGTCTGTACCTACTGCTGCCACTGGGAGAGGCTGGGTCAGAATGGGAGGTGTTGAATAGTTTTAAATGGGGTTTGTGGGACGAGTGTTCATGTCTGAGCTCCTTTTGTGTCTGACCTTTCTTTAAAGCAGTTCTGACTTACAAAAATTCAAACTTCATTAATATTAATATCAATCAGATTGAGTTTGAATTATTAATTACAAATAGTAACAATTAAACAAGATTATATCCACAAAAGGATGTAATTACTAACAAAGTGTAACAATAAGAAAAACAAAGAGTATAATTATTCATACAACAAAATGAGTTTTTGCTTCATCAAAGGGTTCTTTTACATACTAGCAGGTGGTCAGGGACTGACCCTGCCAAGAGGTTTTGTTTTTGTATGTTTAGTTGTCCAGAATAATCGAATGTGAAAAACCACTTGCTGGGGTCTGTCCCTGACCACCCCCCATTGGTAGGTGACTGTTAAATATCCAGTTTCTCAGAGACATTTAAGATGTGATTACTTGTAGTTTTTTGAGGAAAAAAATATCAGAATTTTTTTGGCCTGTATTGTAAAATGAGTCTGTGTGAATAACTAAAGTCATGTGTATATTTTTAAATTATTTTATTTTGTAGGAAGACTTTTTCTTGGGGTATTAAAATGACTGTATTTGCAATGATTATTGGAGCCTTTGTAGCTGCCAGGTAAGATGTGAACCTGTGTGTAGTGCATTAGAAATTATCAATACTGATAATAAATGACCTGTTACCAATAACAATTTTTTTGTTGCCTTAATAAGAATCTTATCTTTGAAAAGCATCCAAAAAACTCTTCAAAAGGTTGAATTTCTTTGGCTGTACATGGTATTAATATCAAGGGTGGCAAAGAATTCTTGGAATTGTGAAAAGTTAAGTTCCTGTAAGGCAGGATTTATCACTGCCCTTTGCTTGGCGCATCCTGTGTGCTGCGCGTAAGATTACGTATTCTCCATGACAATTTTGAGAGGTGGGAGAATGATTTTCCTATTTGATAGTTGAGGAAACTAAAACTTAAAGGAAACTTGCTCAAAGTCACACAGCTGGGTAATGGCAAAGCTGGAATTTGAATCCAGAGCCTGTGTGATTTTTAAGCATGTGATATTCTTACATTCTGCTTGCTGCTAACAAAAAGAGTGTCTTCTATGAGGTGGGGAAATGACAGTCACTTGCTAATGGAATGGTGAATAATGGCATTGCTTTAATTGGCCTCATATAAGAAATATCACAAATGTCATAACTTAGATATGTTAGTTTATTAAAGCTTTTTCATTTTTCCTAAGTTCTGGTTTTAAAATACCTGGGGGAAATGTACACTCAGAGATTCAGAAAATTAAAGCAATTGTTAGAGGCCTCCCATCGCATGTTCCTCAGCCTGGGGGGTGTTAACGCTGCACGCTCTGCCTGACATCCGCTTTCCACTGGAGTCCAGAGTGCTTCACGGGTGGTCCCAGTTGCCGCCATCGCATCCCCATGGTACAGGCAGGGGAAGTGGTTATAAGCAAATTCTGTTTTACCCTTCAATCTCCTAGTGAGATTCTAAAGAGAAGAGAGTGGCATAATTGGGTGCTGGGATCAGTTATGTGGCTGACTACTCTATCTAGGTCATACTGCCTCCTTGGAGAAAAATCGTACACTAGCCTCTTACCTTTCTTTTTAGAGGGACCTTGCTAGTCTTTGAAGCATTTCCTAAAGTTGATGGGATCCAAAATTGTACCAAACTACAAGGGTTCCTCAAGCCTTACTCTGGTCTCCAAGAAGCTTCTAATAAGGATTTCCCTCTGGACCAGCCTTGCCTAATTAGAACCTTTGACTTGGGAAGGAGATTGGTAGGAAAGGAATCTGAAGTTAATCAGAGTCATTAGACTGCTGGGGTAGGGGACGTGCATTAAACTAGTCCTGCCTAAGATTGCCGAGGCAGAGAGTGCCTCAGAAGTCTTGGCTCTGGCTTGGCGCCTGTGGCTCAAGTGGCTAAGGTGCCAGCCACATACACCTGAGCTGGCAGGTTCGAATCCAGCCCCCCAAAGAACAATGACAGCTGCAACCAAAAAATAGCCTGACATTGTGGCAGGCACCTGTGGTCCCAGCTACTAGGGAAGCAGAGGCAGGAGAATCGCTGGAGCCAGGAGTTGGAGGTTGCTGTTAGCTGTGATGCCACAGTGACACTCTACCTAGGGTGACAGCTTGAGGCTTTGTCTCAAAAAAAAAAAAAAAAAAATCTTGGCTCCATTTAGAAGGTATGATATCTTCACAAAACCATGGAATATGGAGCCACTATTTTAGCTAGGGTGTTGAAGTATTTTGACAGTGTGTTTTTCTCAGATTTTCATTTATTCTGTTAATTTCACCAAGTTCTCATGCCCAATACTCTATTAAGTATCAAAAATTTTCAGTTTCTCTAATCTTTCTAGTTACAGCTTATAAGGTCAGGAGTAGATATTTACGTATCTGAGATCCTGCCATGGGGTAAATGCTGTTCTCAGAACTAACTGTGGTCCACACTTTAAAAAATCCCTCTTCGGGACCCAACTGCCTGTGCAAGATGGTCCTGGGTTTTGTGTGAACCTTTGGAAAATGTATGTTAGCTGCTCCGTCCTTTGGTTTCCTTTTCTGTGAAATGGGGCTTTGAGGCCTTCTGTGTACTTGAGAGGTGTGCTCTAATGGTGAACTGGGTTGCTTGTTACCTGAATTCACAACAAAGAGCTGTTAACTGAAGTGATTGATTATTGCTAATGATGTGTTTAAACTCTCATGTTCCTTAATGAACATGAAATTGCAAACTGTGACCAGGAATCAAGAATTAGGAGTAGATGAAATACCTAATATTCACTCACCTAGATAAGAATGTATTCCTGTAAATATCACGGTTCAGATCTGTTTAAAGTTAAATGCGTGTCCTTTAAATGTGAACTGCTCTCTAAAAAGTGTCACTTGTGTCTTTCAGCTCTGACTTGGCCTTTGACCTGGAAGGGTATGTCTTTATTTTGATAAACGATGTCCTGACGGCAGCAAATGGTGCATACGTAAAGCAAAAATTAGATTCAAAAGTAGGTAGCAATCGAAAGCTTCTCTAACAGATGTGTGCTGATGTTGAAAATGGCGGTGTCAATTGTCTCTGCCAAACGGGAGATAAAGAAGAAGCCAGGGAGGGATGGGAACCCAGGGCACTGTCTGCGGGTGAAATGCCTGTGCTTTGTTGCTTTCATAGGGACGTTTAATTTTTAGTTAATTAATTAGCAGTTAGATCTTATTGCTGGCTTTTCTGGAGGAGACTGTTACTGTTCTGGAGGCTCGGTGAGGGGCCTCGGGCAACAGGGACAGATGTCTGGAAGTCTTTGGCTAAACTTGAAGGGGACTAAGTGCTGAAAAGGCTGCAAAGCAAAGGTGGCCTTTGTGCATTTGCCCTAAATATTGGGGAACTTAAGGGAGCACTGGCATCTCTGAGGGCGACTCTGGCTGAGGCCTTGATCACACGCGCCAGCTCGGGTGCCCAGCTCTCTGCCCTTCCTTCCCTCCCAGCAGCACACATGGGCTTCACAGCATAGTTTGTGTCTACTAAAGACTTGAATGTAGTCACATTGAATTTTATTTTAGATCAAGCCAGACCATCAGAAAGCTGAATATTTGAATCACGTTGCTTTTGCTACATGATGTTATAAGACTACATTACCGGAAGAAATAGTTAGATACAACTTACCTTTATATGCCCTGGGGTTGTTAGTCAAGGAATTGTCCTCGATATCATAGTGTCTCCTTCATGGGGACCCACATAAGATATTTGTCTTAGGTATCAGCAGAGTTTTTGCTGAGCAACTATTAAATTTTAATCTCATGTGCATCTTGTAACTAACCATGACTTTTATTTCCTTATCCCTCTGTTCAACCAAATGAGTTTTTGATCTCTTCTGTTATATGCTCAGTATTTCTGAAACTGCTTCCGGTCCTTTTTCAGAGCTCAGATAATAAGTAAATACAAATGCCCTCCCTACTCGAGAGTGGTAGTTGTTGGTGTTGAGTTGGTGTTGGCTTTGCCTTCTCCTGAAAAAAATCATAGATTGTATGCCCCGCCACCCATCCAGGAGGTTTCATTATTTTCAGAGCATTTGAGGAGATATCATTAAAGAACTTGGGGCAGTGTAGCTTTGCTTTTAACACACTTCCTTTAAATATACCTTTTATTTCTTGTCCTCCATTTATTTGCCTTGGTGAGTCTGTGTGTTGGTTATATTTTAATGGAAGCTGCTAAAAATTTATAACTTCTTAAAATAGCTAGAGAAAAGGTAGTGGTTTGAGATTTGGCCATACTCTGTTTTTTATTTCAGCCCATTTGCAGCTTTGGAAAATAGGGGCCATTAGTGACATTTCACACAGCAGCTCTAGCTGTCTAGAACAGTGCTGGTCAGTCAGGAAAGTTTTCTGTGATGGAAATCTTCCGTATCTCTGCTGTGCATTAACAGCAGGCCACTCTCCATGTGTGGCTGGCGAGCACTTGGGGAGTGACTGGAACAGGTGAGGGACTTGATGGTTTTGTGTAACTGTATCAGATTGACACAGCTGCATGTGGCTAGCACCTTCTGTGCTGGACAGCACAATCTGGAGTGTGGCTTGGAACCTAGACGAAAATAAGAGGGTTCTGGGCATTTTATTCCTAAGAAAGTCTTTAGTTCCTCTCCCAGAAATGACTTACAACTTGTTGTAGAACTTTTAAGCTCATTGATCGCTTTTTCTAGCTTGCAGATTAGAACAGACTAGAAGGCAGAGTTCTGTCTAGAGGTGGGAGGCTGCAGTGTAGGACAGTTGCCAGGCAGAGAAACAAGGAGGAAAACGGGACACAAGACGTGTTGCAGGGGCTGCTGGAAGGGAGGGCCCGCTGTGTGAGAGTGTTGAGGGGGCAGCAGGGCCACGGCGATGCCTGTGTGTGCTGGTGCTCTGGGCTGGACTGTGGTCAGTGCACTCTCAGAACAGCTCAAGTGTGGGGGGAAGACCCGAGGAGTCTGGCACTGAGTGACGCGTGTCCAGGTGGGCACTTGGCCGCACACCCTCCACTCCTGAGAGACATGCCTCTGGCAGGCAGGGCCCGTCCTTCAAGGCCGTCTGTGGAGGGTTTTTTCCCAGGGTCTTACAAGTGAGGCCCACCTCTTCACTGATGTTTGTACTGACCATAAGCAGTCAGTATCTGGATTATTCAGTGTGGCCACGCTGCGATGCTTTTAATAAGTCAGGAGTTTTATTGCCTGTAATTTCAGGACTGCTCATAATTGGGCCCTTTGAGCATGAGTCTTGTGGCATCAAGACTGTGCCATGTTTAGACCTGAGTGTAGCTGTTGGATTTAAAACATTTTTAACTAAAAACCACAAAAGTTCATGTTTATGATAGAAGTAGCAGAAAACATAGATAAGCAAGAGGAAGAAGATAAAAGTCTCCTTTAATTCTGCCACATGTCCTTTTTTGTTGTGTGTGAGTGTGTGAAGACTGGAAGGTGAGAAGGTGGCTCACACCTGTGATCCCAGTGCTTTGGAGGCCAAGGTGGGAGGATCCCTTGACTCCAGCTGCCCACCTGAGCAGTGCAGTGAGACCCTATCTCTACAAATTTTCTTTTAAACAATTAGCTGGGCTTCATGGTTATGCACCTGTAGTCTTAGCCACTTGGGAAGCTGAGGAGAAAGGATCACTTGAGCCCAGGAATTTGAGGGTACAGCGTGAGCTATGATCACACTGCTATACTCCAGTCTGGGCTTCATAGTGAGATCCCGTCACTTAAAAAAAATTTTGCAGAAGAAGGATGATACAGTAATTCTGACTTACATTGTTCACGTGTCCTGTTTCATGAGCGCCATTCCGAGTCGTCGGCCTCAGGAGCCTGGCCGGTGGTGGTGCATGTCTCTGTCAGCCTAATGGACGTCTGTTTCCAGCCTTTCAACATTTCACATTATTCTGTGATTCTCACGACTCCTACACCATCCCTCCCACTCCCAAAAACCTGGCCTATTTTTAGGGCGACTCTACTTACTGCTGAGTGTCTCAGAAGTGTGTGAATCCAAAGTGGACCCAGAATTCTTACAGGCTCCCTGTGTCTGAAGTTGTGGGTGGTTCCCAGTAGCTAAGGGCATAGCTAGTCCTGCTGGTGGGCATTGTGTATCACATACGGTGTGTATTATCGAGTACAGGATATATGTTTTATGTGTCTGTTATAGAGTACATATTTTCAGAAATGCTTGACTGGGATATGCCGTCTGGTTTGGTCTCGGCCTGGGTCTGATCTGAGCACCTGGCTCTCATGGACGACACTGTCCTTTGCTCTTGACTCGGTCCTGTGTGTCCACATTAGCTTCTTCCTGCTTGCTGTTTTGAGGCTGCCAGTTGATGTCATTTTTTTTTTTTTTTAGCTGTTTCAGGTATGATTACATGATGTCACTTTTATTTCTTGATCTCATGCTTTTGAGCAATTTATTCCAAATAAGCTTAAAATCCTGTAAACTTGCCTTTACTTTTGGTTTCCTGGAAGTTTAGGTTCTTTCTTAATGTTTGTAGAACTTCTGACGTCACTGATGTACTGTTGGTGTTCTGGGGGGAGGGTGGTGCCTGTGTGTGGTGGGCAGTGCTCTGTGGGCTGTGTGCTGTCTGTCCACAGCACCAAGAGACACCCGACCGTTTGCTGTTCTAGGAGCTGGGGAAGTACGGCCTGCTCTACTACAACGCGCTGTTCATGATCCTGCCCACGCTGGCCATTGCCTACTTCACAGGAGACGCGCAGAAGGTAGGGCTCATTCATACTGACGGGCTCAGGCTGCCGTGGGTGAAAGGCCTTATTCATGACCAAAAGGCAGACTTTGGGGTTATTCAGAAGAGACGTGCTTATTCTTAAACTACCCAGAATGGAGAATTTATTCTTTAGCTGTCCTGCTAACCCCTCTTCATGGCATAAACATTAAATAGTACTGACTAGGCTCGAAATTGCGCTGGCTGCCAGCCGTGCCCCTTCCTCACTGCAAGGGCAGAGGAAGGGGAGTTCTACATTTCTACTAGATTATAAAATAGAAATAGTAACAAATTCTCCTTGAGAAACAGAAAATACTAAAATTGTAAACTTTGCCAGCCCCTAAATAAAATGCGAGGCGTTATCAGAAGTTCTCGCTCTGGGTACCTTTTGTCCTGGCTTAACTTCTAAACTGCTTTGTCCCCTCAGGATATATTTAGCATGATGTGGTGACTTAACCATATAAATAGCAACTAATAGAGTAGTTTTCCATTTTTTTGTAAATGTTTAGCTGAATCTAGTATAGCAAAATGAATCTAGAGAAGAATTTATCTATAAAGCAGCCCATATTCATAGGAGAAAAACTGATTTCATATTGTTAGAATTCACAGTTTGTGAACTCAGCTTTTTCTAGCATCTGTTGGGGGTCTCTGTACCAAGGTTCCTTCCAGGGATTTCCTTGGCTGGCAGCCTCTTCAGAGCCCGTGTTGCCTGGTCCCTCTGATGGTGGTGAGACCTCCACAAGGCGGTGGGAGCTAAAAGATGATGAAAGCAGTCGGACTGTGAAGACCTTGTTCTTGAACTAAAGAAAAGAGGCCGACAGCTTATGAAACTTTTTTTTTTTTTAAATTCCATCGAGAACTCTTTCCTTTCGAGAATGGGCACAGATCATCACAGGTGTAACCGTGTTTACTTGGCCTGATTGCGAGCAGGTTACAGATGCCCCTGAAGTGGGGAACAGTGATTGCTCTAATATAGGGGTTCTCAACCTTCTTAATGCTGCGACCCAGTAATACAGTTCCTCATGTTGTGGTGACCTCAACCATAAAATTATTTTTGTTGCTAAGTGAAATTAGGAAGGTTGAGAATCACTGCCTCGTAAGTGTGGCTTGAATAGGTGTGAAAAAAAATGGGATGAGAAACTGACATTGGTCTAGTCACTTGCAGGTGTCATCTAATGTACCTTCATACCAGCTTGAGAATGTTTGCATCCTCCCTGTTTACCAATGTGCAGATAGAAGTTCAGAGGGACGAAGATCTTGTCTGCAGTCTGTCGGTGGGGAGTGCAGCAGAGACTTAAACCCAGACCCGGCTCCACAAGCTGTGGATTCGGAGTCTATGCCTCCAGCCAGCAGGCCGAGCAGTCTCCTGGGGAGCAGCCCTGGCACCTAGAGCAGTGTGGTGGTGCAGGTTCTGGGGGAGCAGGGTTTTGGCACATCCTGGGGTCTAAATGGAGGTGGGTCAGTTCTCTCTCCTCGTTGGGGCTAAGGTGGAATTCCTCATGGAGATTTGCCTACAAACAAAATTAAAATGTAGGCAGTATGAGTAATAGTGATGTTTTGGTAGGCTATGAATTAAATTTGAAACTTGGAGGTGAGCATTCCGAGTTTGTATTCCTAGTTCCTTGTGTGTGTTTGAGGCGTCACGAGCGTTGCATTTTCAGGTCACATCAGTTTACTATGTCTGGGCACCCTTCTGTGCTAGGACAGCTCTGTGAGAAACACGTCAGGGAGGCATCTAGTGTGACACTGAGATGGTTTAGTAAGATCTGCCACTGAGTGTGTGCCCTCAGGGGTGCTGTGAATACTCAGGTTTGGAAGTTGGTGGGGGTGAGTGTCTACATTGGCTGTTCAGTGGAGGCAGTGCTTGGTCTTCTTACCCACCAGAGGTGCCAAGTCTGGGGGGTGGTTTTAGAGCTGAGAGGTAGCTGGTGGTTTGATTTTACTAAAGAGCAGCCTAGAGACAATGGCTGGAAGCCTGGATGACCTGAGGTGGCTAGGAGGCTCACAGAGGTCTGAAGTTTATTTCTTTAGCTGGAAGATTCAGTTTCATAATGGTCAATGATCCGTTTGCCTGAAATCCTGGCAAAAAAAGGCTTCTAGTATAGAGGGGACGTCAAGATTGCAGTACGAGTTTCCAGTGAGGGCGGTTCACTTTCAGTGTGCCTCTCAGAGCTGTGTTTTTCCTCATCTTCACTATGTGTCAGGTGTTGAAACAAAACAAAACTGCCCCTGCTTTAATGGCGCCCTCGTTCCAGTAGGGCGAGGCAGATGATACCTAACCTGCCATGTGCGGGAAGAACTGTGAAGAGGAGTAAGAAAGTGAGAATGACGGGGGTGGGCATTTTAGAGAGAGTGTCCTGGTGAGGTTGATCTCAGCAGACCTTTACCTGAAGGGACTGAGAGACTGGCTCCGAGTATACTTGTGCCCTTCCCACCAGAGCACACCTGCTTCCTTACACGTCAGGACCAGTGCTGGACATGGGAGTTTGAAATTTGCTCTGAAGGTCATGGTACAGTGGAGAGAATTGGGGGCTAGAATGCAAAATAGCAGCGGCCTCCAGCGCCGCCCTGACCACTCTGTGACTTTGAATACATCCTTTCTACTCTCCCACGCTGCTTTGCGATGTGTGGTTGAGTAAGTTGGGTAGAGCGTTCTCTAGGTAGGGCCCTTTCTGGGGTCACGGCAGAGTTTGTGAGGACAAGCTGCCAGTGTGGGTGCCCAGTGCTGTGAGCTGCTCTTGCCTGTGGGACCCCTGATTTCCTGACCCAGAGCCACCAATGAAGTGCTCTGTGTACTGAATGGGGAGCTCTCCAAGATAATGGCTAACTGAAGGGACAGAGGGCACACGGTGTCCATCTCTGGGTAGAATAGAGAGAGAAATAAGAAGAAATGCACAGATGCACTTGGCTCCTTCATCTGAGTAAACTCTGGGAGAATGTGCGTAAAATGAACAAAATCATTGCCAGTTTCATGCACGTGTGGAGGCAGAGTGGGTGGGTGGGAGAAGGAGGGAAGCTCTTCACACGGTTCATCTTTCTGTTTATGTAGGATCGTGTAAATCTGTTTAAAATTACACTTTATAGAAGAAACAATAAGAAAAAGTTTTTCTCTAAGTGATGCCCATCCTGTGAAGACTTCCAAATTTAAAGATAACCAGAAACGCAAGACCAGTTTGTTCTCACTGTTTAAGTAGGCAATTCTTGACGCAAGATGTAGTTTAAAGCAAAACCAGATCCTAATTATTTTTCTCATATCTCGCTTTAACTGTAGGCAGAGGAGGGTCAATTTCCCTGCTAGGACAGGAATCTAATGAGGGGCTCTGACAGGTCAGGTCCCCAGAGAGGCAGGGCTGGACGTAGAGGCTGAGAGGGCTGACATAGCATTTCAGCAAGAATTGGAAGCCAAGGGCGAGAATAAATTAAGTAAATAAAAATTGAGAGACACGTTCCAATTGAACATCTCATCCAAGTAAGCAGATAATGCAGAGCTTTGGCAAAAAGTCCTTGGTTTACCAGAAACCAAGGAACCAGGATAACAGCACTAAGTTTTTCCAACTTGCATCTTCTAACTTTAGAACTTTTCCTTTTTTAAAACTATGTGTCATTCTGAAGCCAGCTCACTGTTACTAAAAACATCTGTTTAACGTGTGTAAAGGTGGAGTAGCGCCACGGGGTTCATAACTTGCCATGATGTTAGTTTAGATTGGTTCACGCTGACTAGTTGCCATCTCCAGAGGGAGTATGTTCAGTACAAAGCCAGCAATTCAGTCGCAGGAGTTGGAACTTGGCTTGCTTGCCGCACACCCGCTAGGTGCTGTCACATGGGGGTAGAAGAACGGGCCCTGCTGTGCATCTCACAAGGCCAGCACTGTAGGCGCTGTAGCCCTGTGGTGGTGTCTCCACTGCGTCCCTGGCCACCGGGCGGGTGGAGGCAGCTCAGAGCAGTCTGGGAGTGGTCTGCACAGACAGACCACCTGCCTGTAGGTGTCTCCAGTTAGCACTGCTGACCAAGTAATGAAGAAACCCAGGCTGCTAGCTTCCCGCTCAGAGTTCTTGATCCTTTCTGGGTTGCTGTGGACCACACAGCCTGATTTCAGACCCTGAATTACTCTCCACATAGAGGCAGACCCTTCTGTTTTCTGGCCCTTGGTGTTCTCATATAGAACACAGTGGGCTGGGTCCCCTGTTCTTTAGTTATGAATGAATAGATCTTTTTCTTTGCCTATATATTATTTGACTAACATGGTAATGCTTTTAGCCACTACTACCTTTGAGGATATGCCTTTTTAAATAAGAACTGGTGACCTAGCTGGTGAGCTGGAGTGTCCAGCATGGACATGCCAGGCAGGTTTAATGTGGCATGGCCTGGGGGGTTGAGGGCAGCGCAGGTATCAGGGCTGCAGTTTCCTGTCTAGTGTGGGAGCAGGGGGAGAACAGAAGAGGTGGTAGGACAAAGTTTCAGTAATGCAGAGGCCCGCGGGGTAACCGGGACCACTGGCTCTGTGAACTCCCCTCGTTTCCCTAAGGCAGAGAGAGAACCACGCAGGTCATCTGCACCACCAGCCTCTTTCTGTCTTAGCGAGTATCCTAGCGGTTTACTATCGGATAAGGATTTATTTTTTTTCAATAATTTTTCAGGGAAAGAATTCTCAAAATAAAGTATCTTTTATTAATTTTTTTTTCACTATGATATCCGAAGACCCAAGTGGCTCGACTCTCCCATTTGGTTATCGAGTTCGTATTTCAAAAGAAACCAAACTTGGCAGAGAAGCCATCCCTCTTGCACGGGAGATGAGATGGTTTCTTTTCTCTCCGTTATTTCCTTTTGGCTTAAAACAAACAGGGACGACAACAAAAACACCTTGCTTTTATAATCACCCGTTTGAAACAGTTACTCTTGGACAGTTATTCCTGAGCTGAATTTGTATAACTAAAGCTCTACTCAGGTTTTACGTGTGACAGGAAGGAAAAGAGAGAACCTTCAGTGCGAGCACCTGACAGCCACCTGGAGGACGCTGCATTGGCCAGAGGGCACCTGGCCTGTGCCTTCCCTGGGGCATCAGTCTCTATACCAGCAGGGAGAAGTGCACACTCTGCCCACAGTGCTTTTCACGAAGGAGAAAACTGCCTGAACGTGCTTATTGGTTCAGCTGCTCCCTGTACATGAGGTTTTTGAACGCGCTCTCCCTGGAGAGATACAAGGAAGTGTGTGTGTGTGTAGGATGGTAGCAGGGAGGGATTTCCGTCAGTGAGTGGGACAGCCGACCTTCAGGCCTTCTGTGAAATCCAGTGTTCTCTTGTGTGTTGCAGGCGGTGGAGTTCGAAGGCTGGGCTGACGCCCTCTTTCTTCTGCAGTTCACCCTCTCCTGTGTGATGGGGTGAGTGTTTGCTGCCTTGTGAGCAGTTCCTTTTTCTAGAGAAATCTGTCGGAGAACTTTAGAGTCTCGCCACCTTTCTCCGTATCTTGTCTGGGGTGTCAGCTCAGGGTAATTAAGCCTTCAGGTTCAGGGGTTTTCCTGCTCTGGGGGCATGTGCAGGGGGAATGTGCTCTGGGGGCTGCCGACCCCATGCTAGCCGTGCTTAAAAGGGTGGAGAAATGGCGCAGCTAGCCAGAGGCCTCCTGTGTGATGGGCACCTGAGATTTCAGCCTGTGTGTGTTGTTTGATCTCTTCGTTGAGCATTGGACAGATAGATACTGTTGTCCCCTCCCCTGAGGAGACAGGCTCAGAAGTAAGTTGCCTATGTTTGCACTTCGTGGGTGGCTGTGGCAGCATTTGAATTTTGGGCTGTTTTTACCCCTCTCTATCACGTTGTCTCCGTTTGTGAGAAGAACGGGTAGAAGGTGAGAGGTACCTGTGACTGGGCCTCTCCTCCCTCACACTCTCTGGGGGCATTTCCTCAGCTGGTAATAGGCTGCTTTTGGCGACTAGAGTTGGCACAGAGAGCAGGTACCCCCGTGCTCAGCCAGCTCCGAAGCCTACTTCAAATCAGGGCGTTCCAGCTATTGCCGCTGAGTTGTCAGGGAACCTGCATCCCCGCCTACAATGGTCGTAATTTTCTTCCATCTCCAAACCTCTCTCTTGCCTGTACCCCGGCTCAGAAGTTATCCTGCCCTCGTGGGAGGCGCAGGTGAGCTGGGGTCTGGGAGCCCTGAGCCTTCTGGCTGGTGTAGGGTTCGTAATCCTGAATGTGATTTCAGGGCTTCGGAGAGGGCAGCAGAAAACGCCTGTCAGGAGATGGGTGTCTGTTTCTGTCCGAGCTGCAGGGCGGGCGCGGTGAGGTGGAGACACACTGGTGGGCAGTGCGGGCCCTGCCAGTGCTGGCTGGGGTGATTCCTCAGGGTAGCTGGGTCTTTACTCTGACTCTTTATTCCAGGTTCATCTTGATGTTTGCCACCGTGCTCTGCACACAGTACAATTCTGCTCTTACAACTACCATCGTTGGCTGTATTAAGGTGAGTTGATAAAAAGACTGTTATCTTTTTGGTTGGTACCTGCTTTGATTGGAAATCATTCTCTAAAGATAAAAGCATGGCTGTCGCCTTATGCCCCGCTGTCCTTATTTCCTCATATACTGTCATGATGGTCTGACAAATTCTGATAGTTTTCTGAAACAGTCTTTAAGATTGCAAGGAGGGCACAGTTTCTGCTTGCAGGCAGTGTAGCTCTGAGGAGTAGGGAGAGGAAAGTACATTATCTGAATAGAGAAGGAAAGAGAGGTTGGCCTGTTTCTGAAGGGGCGGGAGAATTGCTAGGTAGTGATGAGTCTGCCCTGTAACTTCTTGTGAGTTCTGGCTGTTTGTGGGGAAAAGACCCTGCCAGAAGCTGATCGAGGGAATTTTCTTGTGGCCGAGCCAAATCATTAAGTGCCTGATTTCTCGTGCGCTGGACATGCCCAGTGATGTCATCTCCTGATCCGTTTCATTTGCGGGAAACTAACTTGTCATCAACCAGGAGAGCCGCCTTGCCTTGAATATTGAATTAGAGTTGGTGGCTTAAATCCTGAGGCCTCTTCCATATGACTTTGGGAACCTGGTGCTTTACCATTCGAGAGGCCGTGGCATGTCTGAACTCCCAAGTGAATTAGCAGAGTGGGCTCCTTTCCAAAAATGCCAGGCCAGAAAGAGGGAGTCTGATCATTTGGGGAAAGTGGGCAGATGCCCTCGTGACTTCCTTTCTGAAGTCCAAGTAGATGGGGCTAAAACTCCAGAAAGTCTGCGGCTTCACGTTGTGGAATTGGAGTGTTTGGTGTGAACAGAATTCTAAATTAAACTGTGATAAGTCAATTGTGTGAATTCTCCCAGAAAGTTAGAGACTGTCTATATATTCAAGGGACTGTGCTGGCTGAGACAGGTTTAGCCCCCAGAGAAGCGCTCAGCTATGGTTTGGTCTTGGAAAATGAATGTTTCAAGAGCTAAATGGGTAGCTTGTATCCTCAGAATGAGAGTAGCACACCAGAGGGAGGGCAGTTGACACCACAGGTTAGCTGAGGAGACCATACCAAAAAGCCAATGCTTAATTTTAATAACTAGGCCTATTTGCTTGGAATTTCTTAGAGTGCTTTATCAGCGCAGCATACAAATACGGTCATGCTAACATAGTCTACTTTTGACGTGTACTCCCCCACGGTAGCCCAAGACCCCATGGATTTACTTACTCTGGAGAGATGAGTTTCCCTTACACGTTCCAGAGGGAGGTGAAGCCTCTTTGTCTAGATTCCACTGCTGCTTGTCCTTCTCCCTGGCACATGCTGTCCCTCGAGTGTAGCCTGTGTCCCCAGCAGATGGGAGTCGGCTACTGCCGTGTGAGGGGAACCTCCCCTCAGCTCATACCTATGCAGCTCAGCCAGTCTTCGTCCAGGGAGATCCCAGCTGTGCCAACACTTCCTTGTTTCTCTGCAGTGTGGTGGGAAGGCCATTTAGGATAACTAGTTAAAAAAGGAAACTTCAAGGCCTCCACTAGATACACTGAATCAGTCCCTAGAATAGAGACTAAAAGCCTTCATATTTGACAATGGTTTCAGATGACTCTTGGGTGTACTTACATTTGAGAATTGTGTCTTAGTTTGAGCAACTGGGACTCTTCTCTGCCTCCGAGTTCTTTAGGGAGGTCATTGGGGGCCTTTCCTGATAACCTTGCTTGGGATACCCCGAGACACACCTCCAGTTTTCTGACTTCTGATGGTGAGCAGCATGGTCTGGGTTCTCTGTCCCCTCGCTTTCTGAAATTCCCTGGGCAGCTTATCTGAGTGCATTACTCACCTCTGATGTGGGATATCTGTATTCAAAGGGAGGGGCCTACTGGTCCAGTCTGCTGTTACAATATTTAATTTTATTTTTTTCCCTGAGATAAGAAAAGCTGCTCTATGGCAACTTGCTGTCTCTATCCTTAGGCCTAGAAGAGACTGATAGAATTTTAAATGCTTTCCCAAAGGGCATTCTGTTAAAAAAAAATTTTGAAGTTTATTTTTGGCCTTTTAAAAACACTCTAGCAATTTACTTTCTGTCTCACAGGCTTGCTCTAGAAGAGCCACTAAGAATGTCTGTGACATTTACAGTTCATGGCAGATGTGATCGCAGAAAGGGAGGCTGAGACTTAGAAATAGGAAGGGAGGGAGACTGGGGAGGAGTTGAGCGATCCAGGCTGAGCATCCCAAATCTGAATCTGAAATGTTCAAGATCTGAAATTTTGAGGGCCAACCTGACATTCGAAAGAGAAGCTTTACTGAAGCATTCTGGATATTGGATATTTGGATTTGAGGTACTCAGCTGGTAAGTATAATGCAAATATCCTAAAATCCAAAATCTGAAACATTTCAAATACAGGATGCTCAGTGTATAATTTAAACTTCAGAAACTTGTTTTTGCTTTTGTCGTCGGAGGATAATCACCTGAGAGCTGGAAGATAGGAGCATCTGCGAGTTTAAGGGAAGGTGATCGTAGGCATAATGTATGGGGATGACTTACCCTGTGTTTTTTTAAGATACCAGGGAAGATTTTTCTGAAAACAGTTTTTATGTTGGTAAGGTCCCCACTATCCCCTTTATTCTTTTTTAAAAGAAAAGGGAACGAAGCTTGCTTGTAAGCTGTCATTTCTTCCTCTCTGTCTCCTCACCAGTCTGTTACCTCAACAGGAAGAAAAGAGCGGTCTTTTCTCAGATTGCTGAGTACCCCCAGCAGCAGCCATGCTTGCTTAGATCTGTAATGTCGGCTCAAGCCACTGGGCAGGGAGAGTGTGACGATCCTGTTAGGATTCTTCCCAGACACAGACACATACACTGGGAGGGGCTGGTGAGGTCGGCTCCATAACAGTGGAGAGTGTGACGACCCTGAGGTTGGCTCCGTAACAGTGGAGAGTGTGATGACCCTGAGGTCCGCTCCGTAACAGTGGAGGGTGTGACGACCCTGAGGTCGGCTCCGTAACAGTGGAGGGTGTGACGACCCTGAGGTCGGCTCCATAACAGTGGAGGGTGTGACGACCCTGAGGTCGGCTCCGTAACTGGAGAGTGTGACGACCCTGAGGTCTGCTCCGTAACAGTGGAGAGTGTGACAACCTGGTGAGGTCGGCTCCGGTCGGCTCCGTAACAGTGGAATTGCACGTCTTGTTGTTCACACCCGTCTCACTGGAGTTGGTGGGTTTTTGTTGTTATTGTCCGTTTGTTTTTGTATTTTAAAGACAGGTATTTGGGCATGGGTTAATTTATATATACATATATATATATATTTAAAAGCTTGGTTATGTAACAGTGTATTTTCATTTTTCTTTTTAGAATATATTAATAACTTACATTGGTATGGTTTTTGGTGGAGATTATATTTTCACATGGACAAACTTCATTGGCTTAAATATCAGGTAGGTAAAAATCTTTAATTAAATGTAACCACCCTGAAAAGTAAAAAATGGGTATTCAAATAGTGTCACAGTGAGATTGGACTGTTCATTTAATCAGAAATTAAACATTGCTGCCCGTGGGGAAGGAGTGGGCATCTTACCTGCTACAGCTGGGCTGGGCTGATCTCCTCTTGCCAAGGCCAAGAGGACGGCGACTGATCTCGAGTGAGCAGCAAGTGGCAGGTGAGCAGCAGGGTTCAGATCGTCAGGTGGTCAGGTCAGACCCAGGGAAGGAGGCTTTGAACCCAGGTGGCGAGTTGTGGTGGCATCTTGGGATTTGGGGAGGCATCCTGGAGAGTGGGGTCCAGAACTCCCCCAGCCGACTTTCAGCTTGGTGACTGGGGCAGGAGGCTGTGTATACAGGTGGCTTTGAGGTCCCCATGGAGAATAGACAGAGTCCATTCTCCTTGTCTCCAAAGAGTGAACCCTCCTAGGGGTAGGAGGATAGACAGGTGAGCAGTGCTAACAACTGTCACAGGCCGAGTTCTCAGATGGTAAGTTCTCCACCGTGAACTTGCTTCTAATCAGAGGAAAACCACACTATGAATCTCCCAGGGTCTCATATCTGCTTACTAATTCAGGTGTTTTCCATTCTTACTAAAATTCACTTTCATTTGTCTTGAAGGCTTATTTTTGAAAATGCAAAAAATGCAAATGTTACTTGTAGTGTCACCCCTATGTGTAACCATTGTTGATGTCCCTGGTGTGTCCCTTCTCAGCTCTGTCCCAGTGCATATTGATACACATATTTATGTTAAATAAAATGGAATTAGATAACGCTTGATGTCCTGTGAGATTTTTCTCATTTAAAATGTCATTACCAGTTTTCATGTTAAGAGATGAAGTATTCCATTGTGTGAATTTTATGTAATTCCCCACTGTGGAACATTTATCCTATATCTAACTTTTTTGCCATTAAAAATATTGAAGTCGGCTCGGCGCCTATAGCTCAACTGGCTAAGGCGCCAGCCACGTAAACCTAAGGTGGCGGGTTCGAATCCCCGGCCCGGACCCGCCAAACAACAATGACGGCTGCAACCAAAAAATAGCCGGGTGTTGTGGCGGGCGCCTGTGGTCCCAGCTACTTGGGAGGCGGAGGCAGGAGACTCGCTTGAGCCCAGGAGTTGGAGGTTGCTGTGAGCTGTAATGCCATGGCACTCTACCCAGGGGGACAGCTTGAGGCTCTGTCTCAAAAAAAAAAAAAAAAAAAAAAATTGAAGTAAACACTTTGTATCTACCCCAGACCTTCCTTGCCTCCTCTCTGACAGTGGTTTTCTGCTTTGCAGCATTGCTGGGAGCCTGGTCTACTCCTACATCACTTTCTCTGAAGAGCAGCTGAGCAAACAGTCAGAGGCCAGTAACAAGCTGGACGTCAAGGGGAAAGGAGCAGTGTGACCAGAGGCTGCTGCAGCTGGACAGCGTGCTCTGATCGGCTTGGAGCACTGGCCATCCTACATGGACACGAGGTGTACTGATGGAGAGAATACCTTCCTTCGCACTCACACAATCTGAGGATTGATTGCTGCCTTTTAAAATTTTATGCTGAGAGAAACTTAGAATTGATTCTATTTTTAAATATGTTTGGATTAATTTATATCAAACTAGAAAATGTACTGGGCTTTTTAATTTATTTTTCTTTACTTACAGTGAAACATCAGTGTTTTGAAAGTATTTTACTCCATAGTCTGATACCCAGGTGGCCCTGCCAGCAGCGGGTCAGTTTTCCATCTGGAGCCTCATCGCTCTTGACTGTGGCTGTATCTGGAGCAGCCTGGCCTCCCGCGCTGTGCCTGTGTCTGGAGCAGCCTGGCCTCCTGCGGGCCGTGCCGCCGAGCGTCTGGAGTCACTCTTCTTCCCTTCGATTGCATTGTCTTCATAATATCACTGCCTTTGCCAAAGACAGCAGCTTTGGCACTAAAACATTCGTGGGGCTTTGAGTGTACTGTTGGCGTCCCTGAGAACTCAGGAGGAGCCCAGTGCACTCCCTTCTTTGCCGTGGGATGGGCACAGTGAGGGATGGAGGAGGTCGGCCTCACGCTCCTTTCTTCGTCCCACGCCCTGATCTGTCTGAAACGTGTTGAATGGTACGTGCCAGGCATCGTGCTCAGTGCTGGGGTTCAGAGGTGTTAGGGGAGGCAGTTGGAAGATTTCACTCCTGGTACCGTAGCTGAAGGTGAGACTGAGATTTAGCTCTGTCAGTCACAAAAGATGTGCCCACGAGTGAGCAGTGAGCTGTTGGTGCTCAAAGTGCAAGTCTACAGGTGGGATTAGATAAAAGCACCTGCCCCCCGCCCCCCGCAGTGTAAGGCTGCACGCTGCGTGTTGGGGGGTGCAGAGCTGCAGCCTGTGACCCAGCACGGCCCAGCGTGACACCTGCAGGGTGAGTGTGTCAGGCAGCACATGCGCACATGGTAACCAGCACTTGTCTCCCCAGCCCCCTTCCCTGGGTCTGGCCTGAGGGGAAAGGCTGGTTTTACACTGTTGTCACAGTTAGAGCTGTCATCTCCCTTCCCCCTCACATGGCATGAACACAGACCCTTCTTCACCCAGACCATATGCCCTCAGCGGCTTACTGAGCTTCCAGCCCCTCTCAAGACCAGTGCTTCCCTGGCGGAGCAGCTGTGAACAGGCCTCGACTGGATTCCCCCTCTGGCCGGGTTGGCATTGGGCATCCACTCAAGCACTGTCCTGTGACTTGGCTCAGAGACACTGTTGACTGGGCTGAGTGCTTGCTCAGGCAGCTGCGCAGCAGTGTAGAGAGGCTGGCACCCTGGCACGGTGCACAGCCTAACTTCTGTTTCAGAATCCACTGGCTCTATTGATCTAAACAATTAGTATTTTGGTGTTGCCACAGGAGGAAACCAGGAGAGTGGTGGTTTCATACTCATGCCTTTTCCTGTTTCTCTTCATTAAAGCCCGGCTGGTGGTTGTGTCTCATGAGAATGAGCCGTCTGGCCCTCTCTCGAGTTACAGACCCCGTGTGAGAACCTTAGGCTTACTTTTTTCCCAGCAGCATTTGACCTGAGAAAATTCCACCTGGAGGGTAGATTATCTTGTGTCAGATGGGCCTGACTGTCCCCATTTTACCAAAGAGACCATGAGCTTCAGGAAGGCAACTCTCCTTAAACCAGTGGTTCTCAACCTTCTTGATGCTGTGACCCTTTAATACAATTCCTCATGTTGTGGTGACCCCCAACCATAAAATTATTTTCATTGCTAAGTAACAGCATGAGGAACTATATTAAAGGGTCGTGGCATTAGGAAAGTTGAAAACCACTGTCAAGGTCTCACCTCATGATGTGAGGAGATATTATACAGTGGGTTTTTTTTTTTTTTAAGCTTTGTTTTTTGAAAATACTTCTTAAAATGAAATCTACTGGTTAGATTTATTGTCTCATAAAAATGTTTTTAGAGATTATTTTGTTGACAAGTGTTTTTCCTTCTGATGATGATCAGTTGATTTTGGTCTACATGCAGGTGTTAGCCTCTCCCAATACTGTTTCAGTATAGATGCTATTTACCAAGTGACCAGTTTATTGCTAAAAGCCCTGAGGTTTGAGGTATGTAAATCAGGTGACATTAACATGAAAATTATGTGCCTAAATATTTTTGTAATGATGTAAAATAAATACTTTATGCTGAGAACATGTATTAAAATTCTTTTCTGAGTGCTTACAGACTAGTCCAGAGCAGGATGGCTGCCCCCATTCAAGGGCCTGGCATCCAGTTAGTTGACTGATCTAATCGGGAAATACTGTTTTCTATACAAATCTTTTCTTTAATAGTACACAGGACTATACATGCAGTGTTTTTGGTAAATTAGGAGGGACAGAGATGCGACCTTTCTGCGTCCAGGATATTTCAACTGCATAATCTGATTTCTAAGTGTCCCAAGTAGCTTCACTAGGAAATAACCCCAAACTATGCTGACCAGGGTGGGTGTTGTGCGTGGGCGCTCTCAGCAGAGGTGGAGGTGTGCAAGCACGTCACAGGCAGAGAACCCGGCATTAAAAAGAGTTGTAAAATGTACCATCTTCACTATCTTTAAGTGCTGAATTGTGTTAAGTGTATTCACGTTGTTGTGCAGCCAAACTCCAGAGCTTTTCCATCATGGAGAACTGTAACTCCACACACCTTAAACAGAACTTCTCACTGTCCCCTTACCTCCGTTGCTGATGACTGTCACTCTGTTTCTGGGAAGTTGGGCACTCTGCATGCTCCCTGGGAGGGGGATTGTGCCACGTGGGTGTTTGTGACTGGCTTGGTCTCACAGCCTGGCATCTGAACAGTCACCCCCTTGGTAGCAAGTGCCAGTTTCTAAGGCCGAGCAACGCTCCGTGGGATGAGCATCCGTCATCGGTGGGGAGTCCGGCTGCTTCCTTCCACCTCTTGGCTGCTCTGAATGATCCTACTACAGACAATGGGTGTCCAAAAATCTTCGCAAGATCCCACTTTTGTTTCTTCCGGGTATATCCCCAGAAATGGACTTTCTCCATGGTTGGCACTTGCTCCTCCTCCCTGTTGTAGTAAATACAGGGAGCTGCCACCTATGGCGAAGACCTTCCTGTCTAGCCACGACGGCAGATCGGCTGAAGTACTCCACTTCTAGCTGATAGTACCCCACTTCCCTGGCCACAGGGACTGATCGGACAGAGGTTGAGCCCATGGCTGCAGCCACAAATCAATCCCATGGTTGGGCCCATGGCTGCAGCCACAAATACACGTAAACTATTAAGTGCTATGAAGGAAAAGGGCAGAGGGATGCAGCTGTCTCACAAGCCGAGTCTAAGGTTGTCGAGCCTCAGGCTCTCCCCTCTGTAGACAGGACTGAATTGCTCCAGAAAGGCCCGGCTTTGGCAGCTCTGCTCCCAGCCCCCGGCACCCAGCTGTTTCTCCAGGCTTCTTGTTTGCTCTGCAAAGTTCTGAGTGGAAGGTCCTGTGGCTGCTTACCTGGCAAAATGCACCACTAATTCATCTTGTGGTCAAGTGAGTAGAAAGTACAGGAGGCCAGCGCAGGGGGCTCACGTCTGTATCCCAGCACTCTGGGAGGCCCAGGTGGGAGGATCCCTTGAGCCCAGGAATTTAAGACCAGCCTGAGCAAGAGCCAGACCCGTTTCTACTAAAAACAGAAAAATTGGCCGGGCATGGTGGCAGGCGCCTCTAGTCGCAGCTACTCAGGAGGCTGAGGCAGGAGGATCACTGAGGCCCAGGAGTTTGAGGTTGCTGTGAGCTGTGAAGACCCACACTCAACCCGGGGTGACTCAGTCTCAAAAAACAAACAACAAAAAAAGTAAAGGCCATTAGGTTCAGCTGCCAAGTGAGTGCTAGCTGGAGTGTGAAGGCCGCTCCAAGTTTGCAGTTCTGAGATTCACCGGGCTCTCAGAACTCAGCTCTGCCTCAAGCCTGTTGCCAAACTAACTGGGCTGCACCCTGCTCAATCTGATGTGAAATCTGAGTGGACACAGATACATTTTACTGCGGATGTGTGTTTAGCCCTAAGTTTCTGCTCTGGCCCCTGCTATAGATGGTCTTTGAAATGCATTGCCTCTGGCCACGTGGTTTTGACTGAGGTGGTGCAGAGGGGAGGTGCTTTCCCTGTCCTCTCTACCTAGCCTTCGCCAGGGACAGATTTTCCTGTGTGAGCTCAACAGCTGTGGAGATGAGCAGTTTAGGGGTTTTGCTTCCTACAGACTACACAGGGGTGGGAGGAGAGAGCTTGGATATGGCTGAACACGGACGAGGGAGATGGGAAAGGAGCCGTGATAGTTCCAGACTAAGGGCTGTGAATAGGAAGACCCTGAACCGAGGATTTCAGGGCGTCCTTTGTTGGAAGCGAGCTGGAGACAGCAAATGCAAGGTGCAGTGCTGATGAAGGTCAGCGCAGCACGGCTCAGGAGGGTAAGCCCTCTGCTTTCTTGTTACGACACCAGGACGGACTGTGAGCACTAGCATGGATATAACGAGACCCTGGTCCAGAAACACTGACTTTGTAACTATCCGTGAGTCGACATTTAAACAAGAAAATCTTTAACTGAAAAAGGAAATAAAAGGCTGTGATACTGCTGTGGACTCAACTGGGTCTGTGGATCCAGAGGGCGACTCCGGCTGGCAACGTGTCACTGACACCCATGTTGCTAAGTGTTTCTTTTCTCCTCATTCTCCCACAAAACCAACATCTTAGGGAGCAGAGCATGTAGGTATAGGGTGACACAATCAGTGGAAGATAATTTAATTTAACCAGGGAAACTTTTGAAGAAAGATTTTCAGAACTCCCAGAGCTCCAAAAAGAAAGAGCAAAGATGGTAATCTCTTTACTGATGGGGAATTGATGCAGTGCCACGGTGGAAACTCACCTTGCTGCCTCGGCTCAGCCCAAGTAAAGGACAGGCCAGTACAAAGCACAGCCCAGGAGTCATCCTGAAGGCACAGGGATACCGAGCAGTGCAGTCACTGGGGAGAGCAGCCATTAGGCTTCTCCCTCCAGAGCACCAGAGGAGTGAACTGGCTGTGGGTCACTGAGAACCTCACAGGAGGTCCAGAGCAGCTGCTTCTGGGTGTGTGACCCTGAGGACAGAGACGCAGCCTCTTGCCTCGTGAGGCTTACTGTCCAGAACAGCACCTGTGGCAGGAGCTACCTGGGGGGCTTCTTTAGTAAGGGGGTCATTCTATTCCCACCACTCAGAAGTCACTTACTTCTGGCACATGGTCTTCATTTTTCCTCACCTTACACATACACAAAAATACATCGCTTCCCCAAACTGATATCATCTTGTTCAAAGGTATTGGGCACAACTCTCATCTGTCACACCCTAAGTGAGTTGTTCACTCGTGTGGCTCAGGACTAGTGAGGGCCACTTGGGAATCTTGCAGACACAGCCCAACCAAATTAGTGTGTTGAATTGTAAACGCCTGTCGGCTAGATCCTGGAGGCAAATGCAGACGCGCAGCAAAGCAGTTCAGAAAGTTTACGTTTCAGGCTGTTTGAAAGCTCAGAACCTCCCAAGTAAATTTCTGTCTTCTCCCTGTGCTCAGAGGGGACTAGTGGAGTACTTTACAAAACGTTAAAAAATTGCATGACTGTTAGCTCCAGCCAGAGCTCGCTTCTCACGGTCACTCAGGTGCACCATAGCTGGTGACAACAGTAGACTAAGGTACTGAAAAGTCCTTTTTTGGAACAGACTTTTACCCCAAATCCTTTTACCAGTCAAGACTTTGAAGTCTACTCTGATGGTGCTCTGAGTCATCTCCTTCAGGACAGTTCCAGGAGACACTCTCCCCAAGTCAGGGCCCAGGTATTCTTCTCTTTAAAAAGTTTATGTATTCCTCACATTAGTCAAGAGTCCATCAAATGTCAGGGAAAAGAACCAGAACCATCTGTTCTAGAACTACCTGACTCTGCAAACTCGTGGTCTAATCAGTGTGCAGGAGACACGCAGCCAACTGTCACCGCTCAGCCTTTCCCATCCCCAGCGATGAGACTCCTCACAGGAGCGCTCACTAGACAGTGAGTGACCAGAGAAAACCCACCGTTGTGAGGCATCATCAGTGTGCAGCAAGTATTAAAAGTAAACAGCATTTGTTAGGGGAATTATACACTTACTTCATGCTAGTTAATTTCTTTTTTTTGTAGAGACAGAGTCTCACTTTATCACCCTCGGTAGAGTGCCGCAGCGTCACAGCTCACAGCAACCTCCAACTCCTGGGTTTAGGCGATTCTCTTGCCTCAGCCTCCCAAGTAGCTGGGACTACAGGCGCCAGCCACGATGTGCGGCTATTTTTTTGTTGTAGTTTGGCCGGGGCTGGGTTTGAACCCGCCACCCTCAGTACATGGGGCCAGCACCCTACCAACTGAGCCACAGGCACCGCCCATGCTAGTTAATTTCTAACAAATATTAAGTTTGAGAAAAACCTTATTTTGCTACAACTCAATGGCAAAAAGACAGGTGTGCTCACCTCTGAGACGGTGCCAGCTCTGCTCTCTGCCCTCCCCCGGTACCTGCACCCTCTCGCTGCTGCTTCCTCAAGAAAGCTGGACAGTTTCTGAAGCCACAGCCAAACATAGGGACAGGGGTGTGGAGACAGTGAAGACTTGTCCCCACGGACGCTCACACGTGCAGAAACCTTCTGTTTGCACAAAAGAGAATTAGAATTTAGTTTCAGTAGATACGACAATTCTTCAGCACTCTCCACAACTTCCTAAAGCAAACAAAACGACGTGTTTGGGTCTCATTCAAGCCACCTGAGCCAGAAAGCCGTGGCATCACTATAGCTCACTGCAACCTCAGACTCGCCTGCTCAAGTGATCCTCCTGCCTCAGCCTCCCAGAGTGCTAAGATTACAGGTATGAACCACCAGGCCTAGCCCAAAATAAAATTTTAAATCCATCATACATGCTAAATAAGTCACAGCAGAAAGACAAACTGAGATTTTAAAAAGATCTCATTCAATTAAGGAAACCCTCCATGTTTATATAGCAAAAGACCAGCACAACACTAAGAGTACATAGTAAGAATTTATGGGAAACTGGTATTAAAAGATACTCCAATATTATACCTGAAATCAGCCTATGTGAATGGGTGGATGACCCTTTAATATTCTGCAAAGGATGGCCTTATTAAACAGTTGATTTCTATGGTAAAAAATGTTAAATAATCAGTGGAATTATGTAGTACAAAAAGAAAAGACATTTTCGGACAAAGAAGAAAAGGTTAAAATTTGGAAATTCCTGTTCTTGCCTAGGTTGTATGTTTTCTCACACTGGTATTTTTCAGGACTATGAATTACAGCTGGGGAAACCTTAGTGTCTCTGATCTGGTATTAAGTTGTGCTGTAGGCCGGTCACATGCCCCAGGCATCGGCACACACCTAATTTTTGCCTACAGAAGTTCACCAACCCTCAAGTGCCCACTTCTAACTTTCCATTGACAGCAAAGCAAAATATTGTGACAAAACAAGTTTTATGTTGCAAAACATGTGAGATCAACTCCACCGCAAAAGAAGGGAAGAAATTAGTTTTAATTATATAGTCCAGACAGAGAGAAAAGGGTCAATCTCTTTGGGGGGAAAAAGACAAAAGTCCATCACCCAAGATGCGTAAAGGGGACCAGGGACAACAGGAAACCAGTGCGTGCACCGTGTTTGGGGGAGCAGGACAGGGACTGCATGTCTGTCTGCGGGTAACAAGCAGCGTGTGTGTGCCCCACAGTCCACCTCTAACAGCGCTGAACCTGATGAAAACATTCACACAGCATTGTGTAGGCAAGTATGTTAAAAAAATATTTTAATAAGCACATTCAGAACGGCAGACAAGGAATGGGGAGGGAATTATTTTACAGTGCAAAATTACTATGCATAAATTTAAAAACATCTAATTCATAATTTTAAATGCCTATTTAAATATTACTTCAAATACATTTTAAAGCTCAACAGATTTATGTTGAACTGAGATGCAGATTCTGAACTCTGTTCCAAAACCCATCATGAAACAGAATGCCATTCCAAATGAAAACGATAGTGCTTTGCTGGGGATGGGAATGAAATGAGGGGCTTTTGGGCGGGGGCGGGGGACAGTCTGTGTTGCCCCGAGTAGAGTACCGTGGCGTCACAGCTCACAGCAACCTCAAACTCTTAGGCTTAAGCAATTCTCTTGCCTCAGCCTCTCAAGTAGCTGGGAGTACAGGCGCCCACCACAACGCCCAGCTAATTTTTGGTTGTATTTGTCATCGTTTAGCTGGTCTGGGCTGGATTCGAACCCACCAGCTCTGTGTATGTGGCTGGCGCCCCAGTGACTGAGCTACAGGTGCCAAGCCAAGGAGGCCTAACTCTAACAAGGACTTCTTTCCCAACAGTTTGTCAAGCACCTAAGAGCTCTGAAATGTGCTGCATCTTAAATAAAATTCATGATATCACCCAGAATTTTTAAATAGTGCAATGACTTATCAAGTTATAGTGGCTGCATTATGAAGAGCAAAGTCCTGTGTGGAAAACCTGTATAAACGCAAAGTATAGTTAAATATTTCCTTACCAAAAGCTGAGCATTGCATATTATAATAGTGGAATGTCTTTCATTAGGTATATTTTAAAAAGATTAAGAAAAGTAAAATTTCCTAACATGTATACAGTATGTGCTGTATTTGCAAACATGCCTGAGAGAATTTACTTGAAATGTTCCTGTTATAATAGTTTGCAAGAACTTCACAAACCTGCAAATAAAATGTATCTTTAAAATGGTATCTCTAATATCGCAACAACTGAAAAAGTACAGCATCACTCATCTTTAAAACCACTGTCATAGACCACCTTTGACAAAGAGCTGGGATACTTTGGATTCATTTAATAAAATCTGATTTAGAAAATGTGTATGAACGCCTGCTAACATTGCTGCCGTTCTGGATTAATGTTTGAAGTGAAGCAAAACAAAACCCACACTTCTCAACATTTCCACCCCAACCTCTGATTTACCTGGATGTGTATGTAACAGTGAATGGACATTATATGAAGTAGAATGCTGTAAAGTGGCTTTTAACACTGAGGAAAAAAACTGTTCACACTGGTGAAGAGAAGCAGCCTGAACACGTTAACAGTAACACTTCACCGGGATAAGGCCTACACGACAAATTCTCAGTGCAAACCTCTCATCAACTGCACCAGACAGCTGAGCCACTAAAAACAAGAAGACAGAAGATTCATTTCAAAAAGGCATTGGCTTTTGCACCGGTGGCTGGTAATTAACTGGAAGAAGTATTTGGAGTATGCCTGTGTGAGAAAAATAAGAATTAAGAGCCTTTTATAAAAGTTTGGATATAGGATGGTCTATCAGCTTTATGAAACTACATTTTTTAACAAAAGAATTTAGGACTAAAAATACAATGGCACTCTTACAAGGCTATGCACATGGATAACCCTCTATTTGTAATCGTGTAGAGCAATGGTTACTGTGTATCTTATTTCAATTTTGGAAAAACACTGTCAAATCTGAAGAACGGGATTGTAACTGGTGTGAAGAATGTTCAGGCTCCATCGCTTTCTCCCCGTAGACGGAGACGTTCCTGTCTGCCCAGTTACTCCCGTGAGTGCCAGTGACTAAGCAGCACTTGACAGTTTCCCTTCTGTTTATTTAATGCAAAAATGAGAAATTCTATAATGCATATAAAAATAACTGAACAGGATTCTGGTCAGCTTGATACATTTAAGCTGACACTAAACTTGTTTTACATCAAAATAATTTTGGAAATTATAACAAATGCAAACCAAACTGTGCAAGCTAAGTTCATGCTAAATTTAAGAATTCTGAAATTATCTGACCTTAAGTAGAAATCTGAAAAGACAAATTTTCACAATTTTATGAATGCTTTTACCACCTGGATAAGAAACAAGACTTAGTTAACTATGCAAACACTTTAAAAATTCATTACAAAAACTTAGCAAAATAAAATGAAAGCTGACAGACTCAGAATATCAATTCCTCTCATAAAAGTTTACCAACTGTACAAGTTAAGAAAATTATACAAGCTTTTGTATTAAGAAAGGACAGCTCAGTCAAGACATATGTACTGTAAAAATCTTTCAAAGGCTACAAAGAATCTGGAAAAATACAGAATGTATTTCTTAAGCCCAGATAAGAATATGGAAAGACATCATTGATGTCAACAATTTTACATACACAAACCTGACTTGGTTTATTTTTAAATTTCTATATATAAAAAAAATCATGCTAGCATAACTTTCAGGATTCACAGGGTTTCCTTAATAATGATAATTTGTATAGAGAGAAAAATGTCTGTTACAAAGACAAACATTTCACAAAACTAAAAAAAAAATGGTGCTAAGTAGAAATTTGGACTTGATTTTTTCCATTCCTTCCTCAATTTAGGCAAAAATTACCTTGCAGTGGAATTTTAGGATCACTCCATCAAATGAGAAGGTCCACATACAGCTCTAGTTCATTTCAACTTCCTATTTTTTTATATCCTTAAAAGGGTATCTGACAATTCCAAAATAAAATATCTGCAAAAGGCAGAATTAAAAAATGTTATTAAAGTCGGACCCAATTCAGTTTTCAAATTTTAACCAACTACTTGAAGGAAATCAACTTTTTAAGGTAACCCATCAACCCTGAAAATTTTAGTCACACCAGAATTTACTCCAGAGACAGTAAAATGAAGATGTAAAATTTAGTCATCTGTGTTTTCAAGTTCTTCACACTTCCCATGTGAGACTGCTTCTTGGAAGAACTCGGAAGAGCCCGGGCTTTCCTTCCCACTGCTGTTCACCCTCCGCCTTTTGGCAGGTCTCTCGCCTCGCTCCTCAAAATCACTCTCGTTCCTTGCAGTCATGTGAGCAAGTTTGGGGTCAGTGGGAAGGTCGTCCGCTTCATAGCCGTTAGTGTCCGTATCTGTGTGCAGTGGTTTCTTACTTCCCCCCGCTGGTCCGTTGACGTGTAACCCTTCAACTTTCACTTCTTCTCTGTTCAGCGGTTCGCCGGATCCATTAGATGGTACACCTAAGTTGGAAGAAGCAGCAGTGAATATGAAAGTTAAATCTGCAGAAGATTATAAACAGCTTTTCATCAAGGAGGCACGCGCATACGTCTGTGCATATGTGATCTGAATTCCTGCTCTATTACTCACTGACTGTGAGACCTGAATGAGTTATTTACCTTCCTGAACCTCAGTTTCACCACATACACAATGATCCTAAGATGTACATCACAGGATTGGTAAGAAGAGTTAAGTAAGTTAATGTACAGGAGTAAGAACAGAATTTAACATCTGGTAAAAGCATGTAATAAATGAGCATTAGATCCAGCAGTCTGTATCAGCTGAATTAACAAAGCAGTATGCATAAAGCATTCAGATTTGGCAAAGGGACTGAAACTTAAAACCACACTGGAACAAAACCAATGCTCATTCTTACAGAAGCCTGAGTTTCTGGTGCAGGTAAAGGTGAGATGCTGAGACTCTCTGTTCCTATTGTTAGTCCATGGGAGTGTGCTTGAAAGATCACACACTATGTTTACCTAAGAAGACTTAACCGGTCTGTCATAATATTAAAAAAACTACTGCTGTACTCTCCAAGCATATATTTTAAAGTGCTAAAAGTAAACACAAATTCCTTCGTAATATGTGAGAAAAATAAAAGCATAATATTCTAACAAAGAAAATAAGGTTATATTAGAATTGATTGTAAAATAGAACATACATTTTAGTGATAAGAGGTAAAAGACAGGAAGTACCATTGTAGATAATTAAAATTTAACTGCCTGAAAAAATATTTAGCATAAAGAATGAGCCTTAAATACTACATTTTGGTCAAAGAAAATATTCTGTTTTCTACAACACAAAAATGCCCTGAGATCATGAATGCACGTGGGGAGTGAGCATCTCAGGATGCTGAAGCAACAGCTCTGTGATGGTGCAAAGCCAGCCCAGGCAGTGAGAGGTGAAAAACCTATAAGATGCTAATGCCCTCATCAAAGCCCCTTATTATTTTTTTTTTTGTAGAGACAGAATCTCACTTTTTTGCCCCTGGTAGAGTGCCGTGGCGTCACACAGCTCACGGCAACCTCCAACTCCTGGGCTTAAGCAATTCTCTTGCCTCAGTCTCCCGAGTAGCTAGGACTACAGGCGCCTGCCACAACGCCCAGTTACTTTTTGGTTACAATTTTGCCAGGACCGGGTTTGAATCTGCCACCCTCAGTATATGGCGCCGGCGCCCTAAGCACTGAGCCAAAGGTGCCACCCAAAGCCCCATATTTTAGAAAAAGGAAAATTGGGTTGCTAAGTCTCTTTCTTTGAAAAAGCAGGAATCTTGACTGCACACAAATAACACAAATGGCTTCTGAACTACAAATTGTAAGTAATTTATGAACACCTTCCCAGACTAAGGCATACTCTCATCAGAAAGTTAAAGAAAAAAAAAGAAGAAATGATTTGGTGTTACAATGTTAACAAGAAAAGCACAAGTAGTGCACATGTCCCAGACAGACTCAGCGCCCCACCCCACTTCAGGGTGGGTGTGACTGGCAACAGATGTCACATCCGGAAAGCTCCTGGGACCCTGGTGTGGCTGATGGGCCCTCAGTCTGTGTGGCTGCACTGGGAACAGAGACGGATCCTGCTGGGAACTACTCAGGCACTATCAGCAGTGCCAGTGTGAGGCCAAAGGTCAGGGTAAGGGCGAGGCTTCCGAGTGGTTTCTCCCAGCTCTTCACTGGCCCTTCCCTCTTTTTTATTTCTTTGAGACTGAGTCTCACTATGTCCTATGTCACTCTCGGCAGAGTACTGTAGTGTCATAGCTCACTGCACCTCAAACTCTCAGGCTTAAACGATTCCCTTATCTCAGCCTCCTAAGTAGCTGGGACTACAGGCACTCACCATAATGCTTGGCTATTTTTTTCTTTTTTGCTGCAGTTGGCATTGTTGTTTAGCTGATCTGGGTGGGGTTTGAACCTGCCAACCCTAGTGCACGTAGCTGGTGCCATAAGCACTGTATTATGGGTGCCAAGCCCCCTTTTGTAATTTCTAATGCACCAGCTTCCTCCAAAAGAGGGGTTCGGAATGGGGCAGGAGCTGGTTACTTTCCGCATGATGACACTCTTAGGAAAACCATTTTAACCAAAGTAGAAACGAAAATAATTCTCTTACTGACTGCTCTTACTGATAAGCACAGCAATCTCTGGTCCATTGTGTATTTTAAGCAGAAGAGCTGACAGCCTTAAACACATTTGTAAGCCTGTTGTTTCTCTTTTTCATGGACATAAAAACAAATATTGTAGAGTATTAAAGTACAAGCTAATACCTGCTTTCATCTTTTCTCATTATTCCAGGTTATTATGCTATCAGAAAGATCTTAAATATTCAAAACCCTACCCTTGGTACCTCATTACTTTCCTGATAAAGTGTTAGAGATTCTCAAGGTACTTCCTAAGTGTCTTTCTGTTGTGAAATGGCTAGACTCTTGGTCTAAGAGTTAATAAGAATACTTATACCCAGGCATCTTCCCAGGTGGATAAAAGATGCCACTGAAAAAAGAGCAAATTTTTGAAAAGGAACAGTCACCACTGACAGTATGCTTTATTAAATTATTATTTCGTGACATGAATGGGATTCTCTCCAGTTGGTTGTGTTCTGTGTTAGAGTGTGTGTATGGTTCTGTTTTCTCATCTGTTATTTATTGTTTTACTTTCTGCTCTGGAAGTTTAATAGAAGCTGAAATCTGCATTTCCCAAGCTACTGAAGGTAAAGAGCCCTATTACTGGGAGACACAAAGGTCTCTCCTCACCATTCTGGTTGCTGCTGCTGAGGGCTCCATCTTCCTTCTCGGACTGGCTGTTGCTGCTGTTGGAGGCGGTGGGGGGGGGAGAGGGGGCGCGACTAGAAGCGGCGCTTTCACTTTCATCCAGAAGCCGGTCCATGTAATCCCTGGAGATTAAGCAGCAAAACAATAATTACTTTCTTATATTAAAAAAGGTAGAAGTTACAACTAGCTGGGTGAAACTTAGAAGGCTGTTAACAGTGTTCCCTGATACTCATATTCATTCCAGCGCCTCACCTATCCCACTGGACCTGAACATTTGAATGGTATTTGTAGGAAAAAGGTACAATGGATTTAAAGTGACACATTTTAGAGACCTAAAAGAAGTTTTGTTTTTTTTAATGGCAGTTTTTGGTGGGGCGGGTTTTAACCTGCCACCTCTGGTATATGTGACCAGCACCCTACTCCTTGAGCCACAGGCACCAACCCTAAAAGAAATTTTAAACTTTTTAAGTAGGCAAGTGCTCTGAAGAGATCGGGATGATACCATCAGCAGTACAAAACAATTTCCTGACAAAGACTGGTAAGGCCCCCCCAAGGTAGTACCTGAAAGGTAAACTGGAGCCTGATAAAGAGCTGCCCCCTCCCCAAACCTTCCTGGATTCCCCGTGTATTACATTTCTTCCACACCTGAGCTGTAATAAGCTAGCTACATTCCTGGGCGCACCTGCCAGCTTTATCCTGTCAGTACCTCATCACGGGGGCGGGCATTCCTTCCCTAAATCACTCCTGAACTGCACAGCAGTGGTGGGTGACAATGGACTGGGGTTAGGGGATAGGAGCTGGAGGCGTCTTTGCCCATGTGTAAACAGATCATACCTGCCCTGTCTGCCACATGTGGCTGATGGGTGATACATGCATGAAAAATGTCTCATGAATGCTCATGAGAGTTCTAGAGAATAAAGTTTGCTGACCTTTAGTAGAATCAAGGTCAGCAAACTGTGGTTTGTGGGCTGGCCACCGGCTCTCAGAGTCTCATGGGAACTCAACTACACACGTGTGTACACACACCCCGTGCCTGCCTCTGTGCAGGAGCTGCAGAACTGAGCGGCTGTGCTGGAGATCTTAAATGCGCAGACCCCCAATATTTACCTTCTACCTCATTACCAGAAAAGTTTGCTGAGACCTGGTCTAGAACGTCATTCATCCCCAAGGGCGGGGACTTGGGCTGTTAAGTTTACTCTTGTGCCACTGAATCCGTGCTGTGCACACCGCAGTGAGGAGAACCTCAGTAAGAATCTCACCTCGTTATTCACCCTAAATTCCTTTAGAGCAAGCATAATGGTAATACTAAGACAAGTCTTTTAGAATTCTGTGAGCAGAGTAAGAAAGAAGCAAACAGTGGGTGCTCTTAAGAATTTTTACAAGTTTATGTTAACAGGTCGACAACACACTGTTAACTGTAGTTATTCTCAAATGATCAATGCCGCCCCCTGGGTTATGGGGATATCAAAAACTAAGGACATGACACTTGACTTCAAGAAGCTTCCAAAAGACTGAGATATATCACAGAAACACCAATGATTATGATGTAATCAATATAATATTCTAGGCTTCACCTTCCTCTTCGGTACAGAGGGACTTTGATGGTCTTTAAAGACCTATTCACGACGGAGGGGTGTAGGGCGCACCTTTTGGGTGCAGGGCACAACTATAAGAGGGACTCTATCTAATAAATTCAAATACTGTGACCTGGTTGGTTATACCCTCACAAAGAATACAAGAAAAAAAAAAGACCTGCTCAGCGTTACGCTCTTCATCACAATTCAGAACAATTTCGTGACAAATCTGAAGTGTGCGAAAACAGAGATGCGTGTAGCGAAGCTAACAGAACAGAAGGTCCCTGACGCGGGACTGCTGGGGATGACATATGGCAGAAATAGGTACTGACGTTAAAGCCAAGCAAAGGGAATCAGAGTTGATTCCTTATCAAAATCAATTTAAATTTCTAAAGACAGCAATGATTCTATGAAAGAACAGTAATTACTATTATCATGTCCTTAATTAACGGCATTTGGAATGCTTAGGAAAGGAAGAGCCAAACTCAGGTACAACATCCAGAGGTTCAGGCAGCATTCAGGTAATTAAAGGTATGCCAAGTTAAATTTTACTTTAAAAAAAAATTATTTGGAAGGCTGAATCTTTTACAGTGAAGTCTCCCATCTGTATATGGTTCCCAATTTTTCCAGGTAGTGAATAGAAACAATCTGTAAAAGCAACTTTCAAAACTTGTTTATAGACAGAAAAATGGCAAATATACTTCTTCCTACAGAACAAATGGAAAGTAACAATTTAAAGGACAAATGAACAAATAAGTTTCGAGATAATGTGCTCTGAATTATGGATTTTACCTAAAAATTGAGGATGAAAAAAGTCACTGGAATTTCCTTCTAAAGGCATCAATTTAATGCTTTATGAAGTCACTTAAAGTGCAACTATTAACAGAAAGTGGTGGTCCCAGAAGCAAGCCAGAAAAATGTCTCCAAGCTTACAGAAAATCATAATTGCTTCCCATCTGGACAACAGTGTACACTGTGGTCACTACTTCTTACAGAAGACACTTCTCAGGATGTTCTCAGGAATGGTTGTTCTCAGTAAAAAATGATGGTTCTTTCAGTAAAACAAACAAAAAACAACTATAAAAACTCGACAGAAGATATAACTAAAGCCTGAAAAACCATGGTGTTCCTGAGTGTGGGGAGAAGGGAGAAAGGACTGTTCACTTTATACTGTTACACCAGTTAACTCTTAAATAAAGCCTGAGGAAAAAAGAGATACAGACTTCTTTTAACTGTGGGTATTGTACCTACAGAATATTTAACCTTAAGAGGATTCAAGGTTACAGATAAAAGTATCTTCAAAAAGTTTCCAGAAGCTATGGAAAAATTATCAGAGAAATGAGAACGCTTGGTGGCACAGCCCTGCCTAACCTGCTGAGCTTGACGTCACAAAGGCCCACTATGCCAGCCCACAGCACTTCCCTTGGTGATGCTTTCTGAAAGAAAACTGGAGGGACCATGGGTCTGACCCAGCATGGCAATTCTTATGTTCTTACTGCTGATGGCGACAGATTGACTGTAGTTCATATGTGAACATTATTTCTGAAATGGGTAAAAAAAAATGAAAAATGTTACTATTGCTTTTTCCTACAGAATAGCTTGAACACTGAGACTATTTTTAAAGATATACTCTGCAGACTGGGTAGCTATCTCTAGTTCTACAACTCATGTTTGATTACTACCAATAAAAAATAACTATAAATTTAATAACATTATTCAATTAGATAAAATCTGGAATATTGCTATTTATGAAATCCCACTCTAGCAGTCACCAGCCCTGAAGAATGGGAGATGATGTATGAAGTTCACAGCCCCGTGTTCCCAGGGGTCAGTCACACCTATCTGTTCCCTTTTAGATATCTCACTTTGAGCATCTGATCTCTCAAAAAGTGACTAGCAGAGATACCTAACCTATAAGTGAACTTGACCGAGAAATGGTCCAGCCTAGGACCATTGTGAAAAGCACAATCAAACGCACATATAAACAGGTCTTTCAAAAGCAGTTCTCTGGCCAGCCTTGAGGTTACCTTTACTAGTGCACACCAACCAAATCAAGTCATGGTTTTGCATTATTTTTATTCTGTAAACATTAAAAATAAATCATCAAGAAGATAATATTGTAAAGTTTATTACACCATAACAATTCATCAGCATTTAAAAGTAATTCAGAAGAGACAAAGAGTTCCTTACTCTTAAATAACCAATTAGTGGTAGTGACGGTGGGGATGTTTTATTCCATGGCTGGACTGAATAAGGTAAGGAAATCTGGTGCACAGAGGTGGGGCTAGCCACATCAGACGTTCTGCGTAAGAGCACAGGCAACAACTCACGTGTGTCACTCAGAGTAAGTGAGAGGCACGTTACTAACTTAAACGTTTCTCCCGTTAGAGGGAAATATTCAGGAAAAGGAAATTCTCCATGCAGACAGCCTTTCCTCTATAGAAAGCTTGTAATAAAGGAAAATGCAGGTTAACCTGACGTATCACATCCTTTTGGGTTTTCCTTTTATATCCTCTATGCTCAAATGTTGTTTTGGTTCCTGGGATCAAAAGCAGACTGGAAAAGGAAAAACAATTTCCATTCGTCTTTCTCCTTCCTATTGGACATATATATGGTCCTACAGTGTTAGAAAAGAGACACTATTTTCTTTCCTATCTCACTGCTTTCAAAGTGTTTAAGATTAAAAGTATACGTCCTGATACTGAAAGGAAACAGTTATTAACAGAACACACTTCACAGCCGTCTGATCCACTTCCTCTCGCAGGTACCTAATACAAGTTTACATTCTAAAACTTGTTTTACTGATTTTGTTGTCTCAGATACTATCAACAATAGTTTATAAGATTTTATACAACACTGAAAAGTCTAAATATCTTATAAAGATATATCAATAGATGGTAAATTTAAACTCATGTATATTCTATTATAAAAGCAAGATTCTAAAAATCGTAATTCTCAAGAAAAATCTGGGAAAAGTACAGCAAAACAGTATGTAGTTCTAAAGGAAAAAATTAACTCACGTTACACCAGGATGAAGATTGTATTTCTTTTTTCCAAATCGTGTTTGCTGAGCAAAGAAATCATAGCGTTCAGATTTTTTCCACATGTAATAGAACGCTACACATTCACCAACTGACCTTGTTCGGACCTATAAAAAAAAAAAAAAAAAACTCTTGTTTTTAAGAAGCCTCTCTTCTTTAATGAAGTTATTTCATGACAAACAGCTGATGTCTGAGAATAAAGTCGGCTAGTCCTTGACTGGGATGTAACAACGTGCACGGAACAAACCCCGCGGCAGCTGCGTTGAAAGCAACTCTTTCTCAACCTGCACCAAGAGAAACAACAAGCGGCCACTGACCCTCAGATCCTGCCCAGCTTGCTTTTCAAAAGGCTGCCAGCACCCTCGTTGTCCATAAAAATATACTTCTCTACTGAAAATATAGGAACTCATGTATTCACTGTGCAAAAAAATAAAATAAATTTAAAAGAAAGAAAGTATCTATAAGCGACATTCAAGTTAAAGTACATATTATAAGCAGTTTGCAAATATAGGGTCCAGGGAGTAACACCCTGTTGCCTGAGTGTGAATATTGTCTTGTTACAGAATTACATGCAAATAATGCAAATTACAAATAAGGCACATATAACACTCCTTTTATCTGTCACTTGCATTATTTGCATGTAATTCTGTAACACACAATGTCATCCTCAAGTACAATAGGGCATTACTTTTACTCAGAGTGACTAGGGAGTCTACCTTTCAATTCTCTTTCTAAAAGATTCTCTTAACAGTCCCTGTAACAGGGATCCAGACTCAGTTAATTTACTTTCTATGAAGTCTGACAACAGGCTACAGCGAGTTGAATGACTGTGACCATGCTAACTCTCTGGGCATGAGGCAGCCCTGGGGACGCTGCTGCGCCCATTACTGCAACTGGCTGGCTCCCTTCTCATAAAGCTCAGTGCCTATGGGATTAACAAATGATACTGCTACTCAGGTTAGAGAGCTAGTAGGATTGCTATACATAAAAATAAAAGAAAACAGGCAGCCACCTGAGTGTTCTGGGTGCAAGATGGCACTGCTTTAACCCAGCAGTTTCCTGTCTCAACCTGTCCTGTGGCACAGTCTGCGCCTGAGGACAGCGCTAACGAGACCCTTCTTTACAAACCAACATGCATTCACCTTACTCTGGACAGATTCAAACAAGCCACATCAATTCTATTTTTCTTTCTTTTCTTTTTTTGTGAAGACAGAATCTCAGTCTATTGCCTTGGGTAGAGTGCTGTGGTATCACAGCTCATAGCAACCTCAAATTCTTAAGCTCTTTCCTCAGCCTCCCCAAGTATTTGGGACTACAGGCATCCACCACACCCGCTGATTTTTCTATTTTCAGGGAAAAGGTAGAGTAACTCTTCCTCGGGCTGGTCTCAAACTCTTGAGCTCAAGGAATCCACCTGCCTCAGCCTCCCAGAGAGCTGGAATTATGGGTGTGAGCCACAGCACCCGGCCCACATCAACTCTATTTTACTGAAAGCAATAAATGAAAAGAAAAAAATGAAAAGCGTTTGCCAAGTTAACATTATGAAAAACTGCCCTCAAAAACAGAACTTATGATGAAGAGCTGAGCTGTAATTCTATGTGTAAAACCCAAGTCCTGACATTTTCACTGAACCTTTCTCTGTCTCAGAAGAGCCCTCCCTTGTCCTTCAGTGCAGCTGGGGGTGACACACAGGTCAGCCGGCATCTATAATTTTACAATATCAGCACCCCAAGTATTTTTAAGAAATCAAGGTCATATTTTTAATACTTATGTAAGAAAGGTTTTTTGTCTTATAGTTTCCATTCCAGTCAACCATTAAGTTCTCATGCTTAAAAAACAAACAAACAAACAAACCCCCCACAAACTGGTGGGGTTGTTACTCTGCTAGTAATGGCTATCATTCCAGCAGTCCTCTTCATAAGTAATCCATGGTTTGGTTGAGAGTATTTCAATTCAAGCATGGTTTGGTTAAGAGTATTTTAATTTTAGCAGGAATGCTAAAAAACCCTTATCTAAAGTGGTCCTTTCTATCATGAAACAATGGATTTTAAAAAAATTAGAAATATCGATGGCCCGTTGTATAAAGCCTCTTTGCCACGAGTGTTGGCTGTATTGTGGTTATCAGATCACATGGACACAACATTAGGGGTACACATTTTTGAAACCAATTACATTGCCAAGTTATCCTAAATGCTAAGAGTTAAAATTTCTCCTTCATTAGTTATGTTCAATGTAAATTATCAAACTACAACAATTAAGAATGTACAACAAAATTAAGAACAATGAACTAACAGGATTTGTAACTATTTTATCAAACATAAACTAAATAGTGAGGAAACAAGTTAACTAGATGCTATCTAATCATGTCCAGAAATATCAAAAAGGGAGATGAGGTAAAGACTGTTTAGAGCCTCAGGCATAAGCCCAGATGCTTCTCCAACATGGTCCTAGACAAGTTATCATCCAATACTTAGACCCTATCTGTAAGGAAATTTATGAAGCCAAGCTCTTTGTCACATTTGTATTAATTGAAAATAAGGTAACATTCATAAGCTTAGGAATTAATTTTCTGTATTTAAGCTCTGAAACTTTGATTCTGCTGTTCTCATCATTGGTTGCCCACAGGAACAACATATTATTCTACATAATTATGTTGACACTATTAAAAATCTTACTTGATTTTCATTATAAGAATTAAACCCCGAAACAATCTGCAAGTAATTAGGAAGTTCTTTGGGTATAAAGTATATGATTGGTATTGTCAGTTATGGAGTGATAAATGATGTTACATAAAATTATAAAATATGACAACTATAATTTTATATGTATATATAGAGAGAAAGAGTTACTTCAAAAAATCAAATCTTGATTAAAAGTAAATTAAATCTTAAGTATCTGATTTTATAACATTCAGGGACTGAGCAAATACAAAAAGCATTTTAATTATAAATAATGTCATGTTAAAAGTACCTGAAGTTTCAGAATCACTTTAAAGACCCTCCTTACTGCGCCCTGTCACGGACTGTCTAAAACAGCTCTAACCAGCTGCTTGTGCACACATTCCTGCTGTGGAAGTTGATTAACATACTTACAAACAAGAATGATTCTAAACATTTCCAAAATAACACAATGAAAATAGTCACCTGGCAACTACATGTTAGAACATTTAAGTATGCTTATTATAATAATGTGCTAAATATGAAAATATTATAATATTCATCATAAAACATTTAACGTTAGAAAATATAATTAAAATACATGATTAATTTGAATTATTAAGCTCAATTTCTTTTTAACAAAAGAGAGAAATGTGCATCATTACTTACTTTATTAGCCTGAATCAAATGAAAATCCTTCCCATAGGCCTTCAGCCCTTGTTCGAAATTCCTACACTCTTCCTCTGTCCAAACAGATAATTCCTCTGACAAAGTGGTGAGAACAACTGTTAAGCAATATTCCACCAAATGTTGCACAGAATGAACAAATTACAAAATGTTCATAAAATGGAACTTTCTAGTAAACATTAGGGAAGGCATTAATTTCAGAGCTTTCTTACTATGACTGCAAAAGACAGTGACAAAAGTTCCTGATTTAGGAAGTTTTGATCATTTGGTCCTTACCTTTCCAACCTCATCTTTTTCTTGATTCTTCCTGATCCAACTATGTTAACCACCTTTCAATTCCTTAGATTTGCAATGCTCTTTATCACATTGGACTTTACGCACGGTGTCTCCTTTGCCTAGAATTATTCCTGCCTCCTTCACACTTTATCTCTTGTCATTGAGATAATTTTTTATATCAGAACAAAAATAACATTTTGTTCTAAAAAATTTCACTCCAAGTCCTATCTTCTCCCTGCAACTAGGTGAGGTCTCACTGAGTTAGGTTTCAGCAGCACCTTCTAAGCCTCCTTGGAAGAACTATCACAGCTATTTTTCATTTTCCCTAATTAGGCTCTAAGTATCGTGTCACATTTTGTAGTCAGGTGGTCAGAACTTAGAAGGCCCTCAAATTTTTATTGAATGAATAAACAAATCTCTCTCATTAGCTACAGTGAAGAGGTATGGGTGCCAGATTTAGAGTAGAAAAGAAAAGGCTGAATTTTAGTAACAGCTTCATTTCTGATGAGGTTTGCTTTAAGTCAACTTTAGTTCAGACGCCAGTCTCATCCATTTTAAAGTAAAGATAATGTCTGTCATACTGCTTTGCTCATAGGGCAATTATTGAAATGCAATATGTATAAACATGCTTTGAAAATATAAAGCAGTATGTAATTTTAAATTTTTTGTTAAATGGTGTTATTTTCCCGAAGAAGAGACAGCCTTAATCCCATCCCCACTGATGCCTTTTGTGATACTTGTATTCTACAAATATTTGCTAAACTCAGATTAGCATTATTAAACTTAAGATATATTGACATAAACCAACTGGCTAAATTTTTTAATTTCTGCCAAATCATGAAAATGAAGATTTAATATTCATGCTTACCTCTAGCTGCTTTTACATTAAATCTTAATCTTCTCAATGCTTCTTCTGTGTCAAAATTGCATTTCACCAACTCATACAAAGCCTAGAAAAATAAAAGATTTCAATATGTGACCTTGACTATGAACAGTTCAATGATACACTTTCTTAAGACAGTAAAGGTTTTCCAGAATCTAGAGATCTCATCATTTCTGGAAAGCAAATAATTTTCTGAATGCACTATATATATACAATAGCGAAGTTCAAAGTTAATTACCTCAAAATAATCAAATATGCACACAAAGTACGATATGTAAATACTCTAAACTTCAAATTATCCCCAAAACTTAGAAATAAAAATAAACATTTTACATAAACCACAATTACTTCTTTGTGACTTTTTAAGATTCCGATTATAATTTTTTAACAATAAAAACCCCAATGATTAGAAAGGTAAAAATGTAATGCTGTTATAAGAGATTCATGGTCGGCACTGAGCTTACCACATATTATACCTCATGTTATCTCAGATGAGTATAGCAACTTGATATCCACAGATTCTCTGGGGTAGCCAGAGGAATTTTTCAAAGCTTAATAAAAAGTATATTTGAGTAAAATGAACTATCAAGATTTTTGGTTTTGGGGACAGTATGGCCAAACAGAAACTTTTAGCAATTGTCCCTCCACACAAACACCAAATTCAACAACTTTCCACATAAGCAAGCTCCTTCAGAAAAATCAAAACCTAGGGGAGCAACTACATTACCCGGGCTCAACACTGTATCAAGGTAGGAGGCTCTGCAGAGGGCAGAACAGACAGTCTTGCCCTGCCTATGGCACCCCAGAAGTGCTCGCTGGAGCACAGAGTGGAGAGAGAATAATCTGTGTGCCCAGGGGAGGGACAGGGAACTGACTATGGAGCTTTGTACTGGACTCAGCGACACTCTGGAACGTGAACTCCGACACAGGACAAAATTCTGCCAGTGCCCAAGGAGGGAGCATTTGGTCCAACCCAGGCAGAGGACATCCTCCACCCTGAAACATCTGCCTAGTCCTAGGGCCAGCTGACAAGCAGTGGCCTGGGGCCTGGAATACAGTGAGAAGGGATCACCTCATGAAGGCTGCAGTCTTTGAGCAATTCCTGCGGCCATGCTGACTCAGAGCCAGTGGAACTGGACACACCTGAGCCAACGAGACCCCAGATTCCCTGTCAGTAACAGCACAGGCCTTCTGGAAGGCAGAAGAGTAAGTGGCAGCATTCACATTTACAAATAAGTTTGGTGAATCATTTTGAGAAAATTCTAATAGCTGTTTCTTAGTCACTCACCTGTTCGTTGTCTTTTATATGAGATCCCTCAGGAATTGCTTCCACACCTTTCTCATCACCTGTTCTTCTAGAAGCATCCTTAAGAAATACAATCACTTTATCTTCAGGTAAGTATTCCGGGTCCCACAGGAGCTGATCATCATTTTCATAGACTAAATTAGTAAAAGCATAATGTTAAAAAAATTGCCGAAAACTGACAAAGTCTGTGAATCACTGAGTAAGTCACTGGTACGTGGAGCTACATGCTGAGGACTGAGAGACAGTGTGGTTCTAGCATCTGCCTGACCTCCTTCCTGGGCCACATGTATAGCCTAGAGAATCAGCTAGAATCTGAACCAAGAGGAGGGTGCCTGCAGGTCGGGTCTGATCTAACCCTCAGTTTACCAAATCCCACACTCTCTTGGTTTGATCACTACCCCCAGCACTTACTGCCTGAATGACCACGGGCAAGTCACCTTCCTTCTGTCTCACCTGTCACGTGGGTAACAAGAAGCCCACCAAAACAACCTAAGGATTTAAAGCAGTTAAAATAGTTCTATTAGTTCTCATTATTTTTTTTTTACAAGATGTTTAGACGACTGCTCATAAAATGTTAACACTTTATTTTTTGGTTGTGAAATTTAGGGCAATTTCTTTATTCTCCTCTTTTTATTTTTCTATGATGCTTGAAAATATATCAATGTATATAAACTACTTTCATAAAAAAGACATTACTTTTTTAAAAAGGCATTTGTTCCATCATAGTTTCCATTACAATAAAGTTAAAGCCTAAATCTCACCAAAATTTAAAACGTGAAAAGGGTGACCTAAGTATAAGACAGAACCTGTGGAATTTTAAATGACAAGATGAAAAAATAGATAAAATTAAGAAGAAACAGTCATAAGATTTAAAAAAAAAAAAAAGCCAAGATGTGGCACCACAGCAACCAAGGCACGAAAGTGATCTGAGGAGTGGTGTGGAAGGCTGGTGCCACGCTGCCGGTGAGCAGAGCTCTGGACACACCACCAAGGAGGAGAATGTGCGGAGCCAGCTCTGTGCCCAGATGGACACAGGGGAGGACTGGACAGCAAAGGAAGAGAAGAAACAAAGCAGAGACCTGAGGAGTCTAGTTATGAGGTGGAGACGGGTGCAGAGAGCTGAAAAGGAGGCAGGTTAAAGGTTTTAGTTGTTTTGTTTGCTTACTGTCAGAGACAGGAGTGGAACCTAAATACTGACAGGAAGGAACCAGCTGAGAAAGACCTCAGGGGACTGAGGACAACTGATGGTGTCAAAGGTCCTTGTAGATGAAAGGGCATTAACAGCTAAGTGAGTATCTTCTCCGGGCCAGGCAGTGTGTTAAGTATTTTCACCTAAGTCATTGTGCCCTGTCACCCACACACACTAAATTCTTTCCCTTTTTGTTTCCCAAAATAGCTGCTCTTCTTTAAAGTACAACTCTAAGGACAATAGCCAGAAAACTTTAATAAACTTCATTACTTTACTAACCTGAGGGTACAATCCTAGTTAGATTCTAAATTCAATAAAACTACTATGATAAAGTGAATATGGATATACTACTTCTGATTTCTGTTCTTGCCTCAGCCCCTGTCCTCCAAAAAGAGACCACAGTTCTTATGTTCTGGGGTGGCAAGTGGGGAGACACAGACCATACCAGGAAACCCTGACTCAGGAAGGAAAGGGGGAAGGGCAGGCCCCTGGGTCCCAGGTGTTCTCTAAGTTAAGATCCCCATTTGGGCCTAAGAAACAGCACAAACTACCTGGGAGACATTTCTGGAAGCACTAGCAGTATTCCAGAAGCCCCGGGTGGCCACGGGACCCAGAGAAGTTGAGGAGTGGACAGCCACCACCAGATGGTGCCAGGCCAGGTCGGAACCGCGGCCAGCGGGACAGACAGGCTGTCCTCACTTCTCCATTAATGTCAACATAATACGTCATTTAATGCAATTACAGTATGAACTCAATAATCACCACAACGTAAGAAAAAGTAGCATTTTCCGGAGAATAAGCCACATTGCTTTGACTGGTTCCAGACAAAGACCAATTATTTTCCAGTTAATTTTACATCTAAATAAAAGTATGTGTCTTCTATGACTCTGGGCAAAGTACTTTTTTTTTTTTTTGATTTTAAAGAGGATTTCACTCTGTTGCAAGGGCTGGAGTGCAGCAGCTGTGCATAGGTACAATTTTCACACACCACAGCCTCAACCCAGGCGCAAGTAATCCTCCTGCCTCAGCCTTCCCAGCAGCTGGGACTATAGGCATGGACCACCATCCAAGTTGTTTATAATTAAACATCTGATATGGAAAGACTAAAGTACCAACAGGAGCAAAAGATTTGAAGAACTCCATTATTATAACAAAACACTAAAAAACAACAGAGAAACAACATCTATCTATGTGATAATAAGAAAAAATTCTATGGCTCGGCGCCTGTGGCTCAAGCGGCTAAGGCACCAGCCACATACACCTAAGGTGGCAGATTCGAATCCCCAGCCTGGGCCCGCCAAACAATGATGGCTGCAACCTAAAAATGGCCAGGCGTTGTGGCGGGTGCCTGTAGTCCCAGCTACTTGGGAGGCTGAGTCAGGAGACTCGCTTGAGCCCAGGAGTTGGAG